AGCAGAACATTCTACTCCAGCATAAAAATGTTATTTTCTTAAGAGGGCCCTAGTGTGAGTGAAGGATTGCCTGTGCTAGTGTACTTTATTTTTTATCTTCAAGACCACAGAATTTGGAGTGAAAAAATATGGGGAGAGCACATTTTTGCTACCCCAATCATTGTTAAGTTGATTACTGCAACCAATCATCATATCAAGAACCAAAAAATCAGCAGAGCAAGTTTGTTTGGAAATGCATGTGTTCCCACATGAACTTCTAACAATTATAAGCATGTCAACATAATGATTCCAAAAGAGTAATACCAGAACAGAAGCAACAAAGCTGTTAATGTAAGGTGCATACATAAATGAGAACTTACATCTCGGAAGGGAAACTCTTCAGCTTCAAGCATATGTATTACATGTCCCATCTTAGGTCTCTTTTGAGCATTTGGATCCACACAGCGTAAAGCAACTAAAAGAGCACGTTTCAGTGCCCTTATAGAAGGCTTCTCTGGCAATCTAGGATCCAAAACTCCCTCTGCATTCCGGTTGGTAACCATTGTTTTAAGCCACTCAACTAGGTTCACCTGAAAGTTGTGATCACCAGGGGTAAATTGAGAGAAAAGGAAGAGCCTAGGACAGCCATATTGAACTGATCTGTAGACATATGTCATTATGTGATATTATTTGATGAGAACAAACCTCTCCTGCAGGGCGGCTGTAATCAACAGGGTTTCTCCCAGAAATTATTTCCATCAGAAGAATGCCAAAGCTGTAAACATCACTTCTTTCATTCAACATGCCAGTGCTAGCATATTCTGGAGCCACGTATCTAGAAAAAAGAATCCAACAGTAAAAACAGATTACACAAACATATGACTAAAATCATATCCAGATAAAGAAGTTCGACTAACCCAAATGTTCCCATTACACGAGTTGTCACATAGCTCCTCTCTGACCCCAAAAGCTTTGCTAGGCCAAAGTCAGATACTTTAGAATTCCACTGTTTATCAAGCAAAATGTTGCTTGACTTAATATCACGGTGGACGACCTTAGGCTCAAGCCCCTCATGAAGGTATGTCAACCTAAATCAAGTTCTGGGAGTCGCAATCAATAGCAACAATAACAAGATATGTGGGGACTGACGAGAAAAGGGGGTGAGGGGTGCAGAAAAGAAACATAAGTTATAGTTGGTAGTGGACTCGGCTATAAGGCATACCCTTTTGCAGTTCCAAGAATTATATTCATTCGGATTTCCCATGTAAGAGGGCTGCAAGGCCCGACATCCCCATGAAGCCACTGCTCTAAATTTCCATTGTCAACAAACTCGTAAACAAGCATCCTATAACAACCAAAAAGGCATATAAGCTAAAGAATGCAAGGTGAAGACCCAAAGATTTTGCAACAAGCATTGCGAGTAATGTCACCAACAGAGATTCAAAACAAGTACCTATGAGCTCCTTCAGCGCAATAACCAAGTAGCCTCACCAAATTTTTGTGCCGTACACGTCCGATGGCCTCAACCTCAACCTTAAACTCCTTCTCAGCTTGTCCCCTAAAGCATCACAACAACCCATCAAAATCCGGCCAAGACAAACTCCTTGCAAGCTTAAATACAAGCTATATAGTGCTACAAAGATAAAAAATTTAGAACTCCTGGAACCAAGGGATAGGAGACCGGGCCGGCGGAATAGGCCATCTCGAACCCAAAAACTAGCCTCAGGTTGGATCTCAAGTATATATAATCTGAACCCAACATATGGCAGTGAAATTCTCAGGCAAATACATAAAAAAACGAAATGATAACCTCAAATATGCAAATAGATAGAATTATACCGGTTATTAAGCAAATTCTTGACGGCAACCTTAGTGTTATCCTCCAAAACGCCACTGTAAACAATCCCATACCCACCTTCACCAATCACATTCTCGTCGGCAAACCCATTAGTTGCCTCTTCTAGCTCTCTCAGAGTGTACCAATGGCCCCAACCCAAATGCGAAACTTCCGGAACCGCCTTCCCCGCCCCCTGTTCACCAGACCGCGCCTCTCCAGACCCATGTCCCGAGCCAGCAGACTTTTCCGGATAAGAAATTCGGTGATCCTTCCCTATCTCAATGTGAATTCTGTTGCCCCCAGCAACAGGGTTCTCTTCTTCCTGTTGAAGAACAGAAATTGGCTCTGATTCCCGCAGCAGCTCAGGGTTTGGAGCTTGGTGAGGCTTCAATTCCGTGTTTGCAAGTCGAGACTGGTCGATCCGAATCTCCTGGATTTCTTTGGAAACGTTGGGGATGGTGAGGTTCTGAGAAGACTTAAGGGTGTTACTCTCCTTGTCTTTGTTGCGTTTAGAAGTGAACCAGAGGGAGATGAGGAAGAGAACTAGAACTATGGCAGCTCCAACACAAATTCCAAGAACTACCCACAACCGCAAACCGAAGATAGAGGTACGTTTCGACAGCTGATCATTCAAGAAAGAATACTCAGACATTGTTTTAGTTGCTGCTTCTCTGCTCCTCTCACTAGCAATTGCTCTGTTTTGTGCCAAATTTGCTAATTTGCCCCAGAAACAGAGAGATGAAAGAGACTTACAGGTTACAGCTACAGGAGATAGACAGGTGCAAATTGCAATACAAATGACGGCCTGTGAGTAAGAAAGGAGAGAAAGGAGAGAAAGGAGAGAAAGGAGACAGCAGCTGGCATGATGGCCCTTCGGGAACAGGAGGAAACCCCACTACCGTGTTTGTCCTATAAAAAAATTTACCACTAAAAAAATAGGAAAAAGTACTGTGTGTAGTGTGCAGTCCCGTTGCAAAGTTGCAATCATAATCCTGTTATGGCTGGCCCTAACTGAACTTCATAAAAATTATAAATCTTCATGGATTCTTAATTGACAATTTGCGCATTAAAACGTTTTAAACCTGTGTTTTGAGAATAATTCATAACTTACTTTACTATTTAGGCTAATCTTAATAGATTGCGTAACTTTGGTTTGGTAGTCATTAAGAATTTTATTTAGCCTCTTAAAAATTGAATTTAATCAATAAAATGAAAAAAAAAAAACGTAAACTTGATTCAGACGATATGTTGATCCCCTGAACACACAGTAATAGGGGTGTAAGAACTTATTAAGTGGGTTTAATTAGTGTAGGCTGCAGCACGTTCGTAGGGGAGGAAAACCCAGAAGAGCTGTTCATGAACTAGCTAGCGGGGCATGCCGCATGCCATGGCGTACGCGTGGGGATGGGGAGGTTTGGATAGAGGAGGTACCAGCTTGTATTGATGTAATAGTTGGGGAGGAGAGGATAAGGCTACTGTCAGCTTGAGTATCTTTGTATTTCCCACATCGTAACATGAATTGAGAATCATTTAGCAAGAGTTTAACTTATGTCCTAACCTTAAGAAAGAGGAGGGGGGAATTTCAAACCCAATAAATAGAATTTTGCCGAAACTAGAACTAAACTCCCTCAATCCCCTGAAGATACTTGTGGGTGTGAGTGGGGATATTGGTGGTGTTAGGCTAGATTTCGGTGTCCATTGTCGCTTTTGTTTGCTTCCCTTGGCCTATCACTTTATTTTATTTATTTAATTAATAAAAATTACACGTTGTTGTTGTTGTTGTTATTATTATCATTATTATTATTATTATTTTCTGGATATCCCAAGGAAAGTTGTTTTAACTTTTAAGCCTGTCGGAAAGGCGTGGGAAAAAAAAGTATGGGTTTTACCATTTGACACAAAGATATATAGATTATAGAAGCATTTTATACTATCAAATGCCAATAGAATGATTAGTGACAAGAATGACAAGTTTGAATCGGGATGCCTTTTTCCACATCTCTCATATTTAAAATATCATTTTGATTTAAAAGAGAAAAAATTATCCTTAATAAGGAAATCATGAAGATTACTTAATAATGTTTTTATATTTTTTTATTTCAGACTAATGTTTTAAAATGTTAGATTTACAGGAAAAAAAAGTCATTTCTTATTTTGATTATGCTGATGACACTACAAGCAAAATGCCTTATACCAACGGAACTCTATACCAACGGATAAAAAATCCGTCAGTATAAATTATATATACCAACGGAAAACTTCAGTCGTTAGTATACATAGGTCTATACCAACGGAAAAATACATCCATTTATATAGATTTGGTTTATACACACGGTTTAGTGATTATCCGTCTGTATACAATATATCTATACCAACGGCAATTATTATATGTCTGTATAAATATATCTATACAAATAGATTAATGTTCTGTCGGTATAGCTCCCTATTTCTTTAACACTTAATTTTTTCTTTCTAATTTCAGCCTGCCTTACTTTCCCTTCCCACTGCGCACCCCCAATTTCCCTCCCGTATTTCCAAGCTTCCCTCCCCAATTTCTGACCTTCCTTCCCAGCAAATCTACAAAATTTGTAATTGATTTTGCTAAAACTCAAAACCCATTCGAACCCAGCTGCAAAATTCGTTTCCTCCACTCTAATCCATCAATGACTGAGGATTGCTCGCAGCCGATCGCAGGCCCGCTTGCTCTCTCCTGTTCGTCATCCATGGTACCGTCGTCTCTCTCTCTCTGTTTCTATAAGATTCCATTAGGTTGTGCATGCTCATCTTTGCTATTACTGGTTTCATTGTTGTTTTTCGATTGTTTGGTTTCATTCTGGTTTCAAGTTCCGATCGCATCGCCGTGACCGTCATAACTTCACTATTAAATCTTCCAAAAAACTCTCTGCCTGAAATCACTGATTCTTCTACATTCCCGAAGCAGATAGAGTAACTCGAAAGAATATTTGTAAGATATGAAATCACCTATTCATGGGTTGATTTCATTCAAGAGACAAGTATTTGGTTTGATTTCATCCTCTTGCTGCCTTCCAATTCCCCCAAATTACACTCTCTAACCTGATTTTCTCATCCACTTTTTTCCTATATCAAAATCGAGTACAACTATAGGGTTTTTGAGATTTGTAAATGTATCTCTAATTTTATGCCAAGCTTTGGGTTCTCTTATAATTTTGATTTGATTTGATGTTAGAAGGTTTCCAGCGGAGGAGAGGCAGTGGCGTGCTACTTGGCTAAGTGAAAAGGAGGCTTCTATTGAGGATCTGGTGGCAAAGAGGCAGTGGCATTATTGAGAGAAGAAGAAGGTTAGTCAATACTCCTTTGATTCTTCTTTTTCTTTCTGTCATCCTCCTTGCTGCCTTCCAATTTCTCACCCAAAATAGCTCGAATTTCACTCGCCCTAAACGAGGTTTCTCTTATTTCTTGTATTTCTTCATCTATTTTCGTGGATTTGCTCCATTTTTCTTTGATCTCCATTCATCTGTTTCTAGGTTGAAAATTTTGCTCCAAAAATTCAACAGGTGATAGACTGGTAGTTTTCCAATGCAATTTTTTTTTTTTTTTTTGTATATCTGTAGAGAAATGAAATGGTTAATCTGCTTACTATATATGGATTTCTTCTGCATAAATTTTATGGAAACTTTTAAATTCATAATAAGTACATTTGCTTTTATATCTCTTCTATGGAGTAAGAATTTTATAAAAGGTCTCAAAAATAGATTCCTATTCTAGGTTTTAATTAGTGTTTACTGTAATTATTCTTGGGGTTCATCTCATCTCATGATTTAGAAAAAAGGTGTGCTTGGTTTGCTGTAATAGAAACTATGTTGAAATCATATGGTGGCTGACTTAAGTTGTTTGGTTATGCTTGAATTATATGCACTGATTTTTTCCCCCTCTTTTTATGAATATGGTTTATTTTATCAACACCTTCTGTTATTTTAATTGAAATTTTCTCTCATCCTCTCTTTTATCAAAAACTAAAAATTAGAGAATTCATAACCCTTTACATTATTTAGATGACAAAATTCATAGTACTTTCTGACTTAAAAAAACAAATAAGAAATATGTTTTGGCTTGGTTTTTTATTCGCATTTTATAAAAGTGCCTTATTTTCTAAAGAGTGATTGAGTTCTATGAAGGGTTAAAACCCAAGGTTATACTAAGGCAGAAAAGAGAAGAAAATGGTTAGGGTCATGTTGCAGTTGAAGAAAATTGAGAACAAAGCATACAAACACATAACCTTTGCCAAAAGGAGAAGTGGCCTTGTCAAGAAAGCCTTTCAACTTTCAACTCTATGTGATGTGGAGGTTGCTCTAATCATTTGTTCCTCGGCCAGAAATCTCACTCTTTTTGAGGGAAAGAAAAGGTTTAACTTAATTTGTTTAGATTTTGATGCACTGGTGAATAATTTTGTTGAATTTCATGCCTTCAATTGATTGTTGTTGCTAATAGGCCCATTTGGTATTGTGTGTTTTCTAGGGTAGAAGAGGTTCTGTCACATTTTATCCAAATCCCTGCAAAGAAGCACTAATGGTATGTGAATTTTGATAAAATGGATTATGTTAATTGGAAATTTAGCAATATATATGATTTTTTAAATGAAATTGAAAATTGGAATGGTAGGACAATGTCATGATCCATGGGGTGTTTTTTTGTTACATATCTGTGGTGTTAAGAATGAGCTACATATGAAATGAAATTGTAAAAGAGAATTTTATGAGAGATCAAAAAGTATGGAGAAATCTTGGAATTTTTACACTGATACAATTCTCTCTGTGTTTTTCCATATACCAACTTTTAATTTGTCCACCTGTCATCCAATTGGAAAGCCTACCAAATCAAGAGGTAAACATTTCTTCTTAATCTAAACAATCATGTTGCTAGTCATTGATTGCATGTCATTGTTGTCTTAATGTGACAAATGTATGTGATTACTCGTAGTTAAGGCAGATCATTTCTCAGCTGAACCTGGAAGTTAGTGTCTACCATCATAACACAACTTCCTTAGGGTATGTTTTGCTGTCTCACTAGAGTATTTTGTTAAATTATTGTGAGTTTTGGTTAGGTGATTGATTTGGCCTTGTAATTTTGCTTTCCTTTGTTGATCCTGGGTGGTAGAACCATTGGAATTGTGAGTGTTGATTCTGAAATGGAAGTATATAAAGCTGATGTTAATATTATCTTAATTTTCTATTAATTATTTTTAATAATCATAGAGTAGAAATTGATTGCTTTCTTCAATGTAGGATGTTCAAAACCAAATCCTTATTTGCAATTCCCAGTTGCAAGATGTGGAGAGGGAACTATAGTATGGACTTATATATACTTCCATATCAAAATAATAAGTTTTCCTGATATTACAATCTTAAACTTGTCCTAATGTAAATATCCTTTTGAAGGTACTTTGTAAAAAGTCTTGGCTGCATCAAATCATCATGCGAGTTGGAATACCATGAAAAGATCTTGGAAGACACACTGCAAGTTGTCCGTATGCACAAGGCAAGATCTATGGTTAATCAGAAATCTTCTGCTATTTGTATAGCTTTCTTGTATTCTTACTGCCACTTCTAATATTATAGGAAGCTTTAAAAGCACATAACAGCATCCTTCTAACTCTAGATGTATGTGTGAATGCCATTATAGCCCATCTGATTGGTCCATTTTAGTTTAGCTAAGACATGAGAAGGGAAATTGTATTATAAAAGGTAAGAAATAAAATTTGCATTTTTTATGACGTATACCTTTCTTCATCATATAAAAAATAATAATCATTTTTGTGTTAAATGTCATAGGAACAACTTAAAAACTGCATGAATGAGTCTACTTCTTTTGCAAGTGCATTGGAGGAGACTACATCTTGGCGAGATAATATATTCTTTAAGGTGAAGGGATCTAACAAGAAAGGGAGGGTTTGCTGCTTAGGGAAGGTCCCAACTTTTATGTGGTTATCTCTGCAACTAAAAGGACTGTAAGTTATCTATGTCAAATTTATAATTCTTTTCTGGTTCTAGTTCCCATCTTTCTTAAGAAATAGGGAGATGAGTTTTGACTTGAACAGTAAAAGAATGCAATCTTGTATTTGGTTAGCTTCATTTGTGAAAATTCATGGGTGGATGCATGTGGACAAAACGAATAGACTAGACTTATCTTGGTGAGAGTCTAAATTCAAAAAATGGGATGCTATAAATCAGAGTTGAGGCGGATAATATTAAACAATAGTAAACTCCAGTGGCAAGTAGGGTCCCTATATGTTCCACTTTCTTGCAAGCCATATGCAGGGAGTTCTATCTTTAAGACAGAGTTGTACTAACTGTGTCTCCATTTTCGTTTTCCAGAAGTGAAGTTGGTAACACAGGCAAAAGCACTTCAATTGTTTTTGCACCTAGGTTTTCTGAAAAGTTTTAAATCTCTTTCACATGCCTTTTCTGTCTTCGTGATGCTATTACAAAATTATGACATGTTCTTCTATTGTAAGTCCTACTTAGTTACTTATGTACTTTGGTGTGCTAAATTAATCTTCCTTATGCTAGCCTATTCCCCGTTGAGATAAATACCTTTCATCTTTATATTTTTTTTACTTAATAGTATTAAGGCATATCTATGGTTTTTCAAAATCTACATTATGCGTTTATGCTTTGGCCTTGTTTTATCTTATCACCTACTTTATAATTGATTGGGAATTAGTGGAGCTTTCTAGTACCTGTTCTGTTATGCCATGGTAATTATATTTGGAAACATAGAATTCTATCTTGAGATTTTATGTTATCATTACCATTTTAATAAAGTTAGCTTATGTTTTCTTCTTTTATTTACCTGTTCAGTCTTCTTTTCTTAGTTTCTCATCTCTTCTATTTAGTTTTTTGTGAGTTTATGTTTTTGTTCTTTTCAATTTTCATTTCAAATCTATACTTATTGAATTATATTTTTCAATAGGCACGTGCAGCCCGTCAAGAGGTATCTCATACTTACTTATACCTCTTCATTCGGGTTTCACTATTTTTTAAGTTTAATCTTTAAAATCTATTTTTCTTTTTTACTTCTTTTGATTGAATTTTTAAAATTTTAATTATCACTTAATTACTTTCTATTGAATTGTAGGTTCCGGATGCTAATAGTGGGCAAGGTTTTTCCCCAAATAATCGTTCCTCTTCACAATCAAGCCATCACCTTTTGTCTCACCAAAATGAAAATAATGAAGAAAATGATGGGCAAAGGGATTGAAAGGCATGTTTGTGTCTCCCCTTGCTTGACAGTTTAAAGACTAATGATTTTCTAGTTTGGTAGATGCCTTTTCTTTTGGACAGTTTTACCTTGATACGAGATTATTGTGAAGTATTAGAAGTTTTACATTGCTTTTCATTGGAAATTCATTTAGATCTGGTATTTCTATTTTTTTTTGTTGGTAATATGATCTACAAATTTGGAGATTAAGCTTGCTTTGGTGGATTTTTGAAGAGTTTTTGTTTCATCTTTCAGATCTGTTACTGAGATGATTTCTGGGAATTTCAGTATAATTTATGCTTAATTCAGTAGGTATTTAATTAAAATAAGGAGGCAAAAATACTATGTAAAAATATAAATATTTTTTAGAATATACAGCTAGAAATATATCTGTGTATTGGTATCTCTGATTTTCTTTTACTTTTGTACTTTTTCAATCTTTGGAAACTTTCTCAATAATTATTGGATGATTGAAGTATGGTTTTATGGTAGAGAAAACCTTGACATCTCCAACAAGGTTTAATAATTGCTCTATTGCTGTTGAGTTTAATTAAGCAGACTTTTCATTGATAAACTTGGATATTAAATTATAGATTCAAACCTATAATTTAGATATTAAATTATATAAATTTAGATATCAAAATATCTCTGTTTTTGTTCATGCTGCTTATGGTTGTGGCTGTTGGGCTAGAATGTTTTCTCATATTCAGGGGAATTCAAGGGCTAATTAAAGCACCAACATCAATAAAACAGATGGAGAAAATGGTACTTAAATATTTGCTGCCACAAGTTGAAGCGGCATCGCTCTGGAGCATATCTCTTGCATTTGCCTGGCAAAAGGCAATGAGGCAATGGCCTCATTTCATGATTCATTTCATACTTTGGAGCTCCTTTGTTATGTGTTTGTCGGCTGCAATTTTTCTGGTTTGCTGCCAAAAACCTACCACAGATGGTGTTGGGGTTTGCTTCATTGCCTTTGCAATTGGTAATGGCTTGTATGCTTGTTGGGTTAGTCCAAGAATTAAGTTCTGTACCTAGGTTTTGATCAAAGCAATGGAACCTACTTCCAAATTTACAGATTTAAACCACCCCACTTATGTGATGCTTGGGGCTGGATTCATATGGATGTCTATGTGGATTTTGGCTGTGATTGGAACCATTGATTATAATTGTATTGTTCTTGAGCTTAGCTTGGACGACTGAAGTCTTGATAAATGTTACCAATTTAACAATTAGCACTTAGCAGAGTAATTTCTTTGTATTACCTCCAAGGAATGCAGTGCAGTACTAACTTCTGCTTCCAAAGAGCCTTATCCCTGAACCTTGGAAGTGCTTGTCTTGGATCCTTATTCGTTCCAACAATATAAGCACTGAGAATTGTAGCAAGACGTTTGAAATTGTAAAATAAATTCTGATATTAAATTAGATGTTATTCCATAAATTTAAGTGTTCAAAAAAAAATTTCATATAACAAAACAGAGAACACAAGCAGCATAAAAGGATATATAAAAGGATATTGATATAAAAGATAGAGATATAAATAATTTTTATACAATTTTTATGTATTATTAAATTAATAATTACACTCAATATAATAAATTTTAAATAAATAAATAAATAAATTATCTAAATAAAATATAATTATACAAAAATATTATCTCATATATTGTTCACACAAAAAAAATATACAGAAGCCTCTAAATTATTAAATTGCATGAATAGCATGTAAGCACACGGATTACTGACGTGGCCAAAAAAAATTTGAAATCCCGCCTAAGCGCAGACTCCATTTTGTCCATTTATTTTCCCCCTTTGCCTATTTCAGGATCCACACCACACCAAATTGAATTGCCTATTTGTCCATTTATCTTTCTCGCTCGCTCGCTCACGTCTCCTTGTCTTCCAAAAACCCTAACTCTCAAGTAACTCGCTGCAGCGACCCAGTCATGTTTGCATTGTTCTGACCAATCTTTAAACGATTCTCATTGATTTTGATTGTTATTCGTGCAGGATTAAGGTGCTAGATCGAAGGCTAATTCGAAGAAAATTGATAATAAGTGAATTTTATTCCTTATTTTGCTTTGTTGTAATTTCTGAGTTATTTTTTTTTTTTTTT